GAAGAAGAAGAAGAAGAAGAAGAAGAAGAAGAAGAAGAAGAAGAAGAAGAAGAAGAAGAAGAAGAAGAAACATTGTCACAATGTCTTCTTAGTGAGGTCAGTTCAAGACCAGGCCAGGGCCCAGGAAGGAGAGATGGCGGTCAAAGGCAGCTGTGGCTGGCAAGGGCCCTGTGCCAAAGGCCATGGGCCCAGATGTCTCTGTGTGTGCTCCATGAGGAACAGTCTAGAGCAGGCCCCAAGCCTTTGGTCCCAATGCACTTTTCAGGATCATGGAACCCACTATGTAAACAGTTTTGAGTGCAGTCTACAAGGTGATACTGAGAGCCCACACCTGTTGAAACTTGCAGGAAAGTAGAAGTTCAGTGATCACTCACTGGTAAATGAATTCAGTGTAGGAGTTCAAGAAAGCTGAGAAGAACATGGGAAGAACCAGAGGCAACTGAGTTTAGCCCAAGAGTTCCTGTAACACCCTTCTATTAAAGGAAAATGGTTCCTCTTTGGTGACAGCACTTTTCTGAGAGGCACCAAGATGGTTAATTAATGGAAATCTAAGTTTATGAATAATAAATAATCATTCTTAGGAAATAGCTTTCCATCTGTTGGATCTTCTGCTGCTTCCATTTAACTACAGCTGGAGCTCCAGGAAAACCATCAACAGAAAAGGAAAAAAAAAAAATCATGCAGCCTTTCATTCAAAGCTGTATCAAAGGCTCACTAAGCAAGTGGAGGCATGAAAGGCAGCCAAACCCAGATATGTGGCCCTGAAGCCTTGCCTCACCTGCTGCTCCGTGTGCAGCTGGCTGCTCACTCTGAGCTCCGCACTGGTCCTGTTGTCAGTCAAATCTGAACATGTCAAAATGAGGCTTTCCAGCTACATTTTACTCACAAGGAAATGACTGGCAATGCTCTTTGCTTTGCAAATAGCATTCATGTTTTCTTAAGACCTCAGCGGCATGGCCTCCGGATGGAGGCAAGCTTGTCAAGGGCACGATGACGTCTGTGGTTGTCATGTGCACCCTGGAGGTAGTGTGTGCTCTGGGGACAGCTCTCCTTTGCTTCTTGGGATTTGTTGGGTGAATGAATATGAGAGAAGGGAATTGGAAAGGGTTTTCTTTGTCCTCTTGAAGGTTCATCTCAGTGTTATCTTCCAGTCCTCCTGTCTAGTCCATGCTAACCAATGCTAGATGCTCTCACTGGTACCGGAAAATTTGAAAGAACAGTTTCCCAGTGGTTCATGAGCTCAAAAACAAAAACAAAAACAAAAAACATCAATGAAGACCCTAAGCGAACTCTGACACAGAGGAAAGCTCAGGAGCTCAGCAGAGTGGGTAACTTCACCTTCTCCAAGGGAGACTCTGTGAAGTAAAAAGGTCAGAAGGGTCCTGGCAGAGGAGGGAGCATGGTGACATCTGTTGTCTGAACAAAGTCATCCAACCACCAGGGTCACTCTAAGAAAGGCCAAAGCAGTTCCTTGGCAGGTCAGTACCTAACTGAAATGTTCAGACGTAGAAAGAAGACTAAAACTATGCTGGATACAGAGAAGGACATTGGGAAGTTGTTGGGAGCCTGGGCAGGTAAGGTGTTTGGAAGGAAACACAGTCATGGTTGTGTACCATGCCACTGTATCCCAGCCCCTTCATCCATTTCATGTGCTTTATGCTGTGTGGAACTTGTCCTCCATGGTCATCATGCCCTATGAGCTGTACTTTTACTTCAGCTCACTTAGAATGTTCTTCCCTGCCTTATGGTGGCCATGGAAGGCATCCGCCCCATGTCCTAAGGGTGCAGCTTCCTCAAATGCTACTCTGCTCTCTGGGGTGGGCACCATGACCATAGACCCCTTGTCCAGCAGCTCAGGCCCCTGTGTCCCTGAGCACTGTAGGCCACCAAGAATCTTCTCCCCTCAGCCCCAGCCTCCTTCAGAGATGAGGCATAGCCCTTGTGGACATTTGCACATGCCTATCTGGGCATGAAGTTCTTGCTCTCTATCATAGGACCCTGATTTTCTTGGCAGAACTTATCAAACAGAGGCCTGGGAGGGGGTCTTGCCTTCACTGGAGAGACAGACACCCTGAGACAGGTAATTCTTTTCTGGTTTAGCTCTGCCATGTGGAAATGGACATGCTTATATGAGGGACCCACCAGTCTTCTGCTGACAGGATGGCCAAAGGGGGAGGTAGCAGGTCCCACAAGTGTATAGGATGGTCTGGCACAGGCCTGTGTGCATGTGTTCCCAGACTCTTCTCCAGCAAGCAAAGGATGTTGGTTGTCTGGGCTCTAACTTCTCAGGGATAGGAGAACTCACGGAGCAGTTTTGCCATTCATGGTTTAAGTTAGCTGGAGACAGATTTTCTCATTTGAATTCCTGGCCAACATTAAAACCTCAGATTACCAAGCTCTGTCTCTCTCACACACAACCCTTTCACACACACATGGCCCATCCACATTCAGCCAGTTCACACACACACACACACACACACACACACACACACACACACACACACAAACACAGCTTCCTCATACATTCAGGTCTGTCAAACACCCACAGCCCGTCATATACACAGCCTTATCACACACAGGCCCATTCACACTGACATACAGCCCACCACCCATATAGCCCCATTGCACACTCCGTTCCAACACGCAGGCCCACTTGCCATTTCCACTCCAGCCTGCACGGTTGTGAAGAAATCCCCAGGGAACAGGGCCAAATACACAGGCATCTGAGAGGCCATGGGGGAGGGGTCAGGGAGGGTGACAGCTGGTGAGTTGTGGCCACCTCTGCGTAAGCCATCAGCCCCAGGTGGGAGGTAAATCAACAGTCCCTAGGTCAGATGGCACCGGCCGTGTTCCCAGGATTGGCTGCCCTCACCCCGGGAAGGTAAGCAAACCCTGCATGTGTTGTCATCACTCAAAGGGCCCTGGGGGGAGAAGAGGACGCAGGGCTGACCGCCCGGGGCGGCAACAGGACACCATGCAGAAGTTGCAGGCCAGCACAGCTGAGTCCAGCAGGGATTTAGATCAAAGGCTGGCAGCTGTGCTGCAGTGGGGAGGGCCAGGAGGGAGCCTCTTGGGGCGCCGAGGGGGCGCCCGGCCCTAGCAGTGTCCACCCTTCTGTGTCCTGCCATTTGGAAGCTCTTTGTGTGTGTGTCACATGGGGGTTCATGGTCCTTTGTGACAGGAAAAGTTGGGTAGGGTGCCCATGACTCTCAAATGTACCATCTATCCTGAGTGAATACTTGGGGGCCTCTGCATGGCAGAGAAAGAGCATGCTTTCTTGTGGGCAAGGGGACCACAAGGGATGCTCTCTAGAGACCACTTAAGCCTTTCCAACCCTGCTGCACTCATGGCTCAGTGCAGCCATGAGTACTGGCCTCTGAATTCTGCTAATGGACAAGGCCTGTAGGATGGCGCCCACGGGCAGCTATGACCTCTTCTCTCTCTGCTCGTACCCAGGTCTACAACCTTGTATGAGCCAGATAGTTCAAAAGTCTTCCTGTGCTGTGCAAGAATTAAATAAGGTCATGTGTCCACATGAAGCTTGTGCAGGCTACGGACTGGAGAGGTGGCAGCTGAGGCCTCTGTAAGGGCCACGAGGCCTGAGTCATGGACCCATGGGGCAACAGCTGTCCCACACCATGGGGGAGGAGCTCTTTGAGACACTTTAGACTGTGTCCTCCTGGAACATAAAAGGCTGAGGAGATGGGAGTAAAAATGAGAGGTGGTGACTATTTGAAGGAGACACCCCTGCGTCAGGGTCACCCTTAGCTACATAGATGGCAGATGGGTTCCAGTGATAGAGAAATAGGACCTGGGGAACCTTGAGGCCACTGCGCAGCTCCCATAATGGGCTCAGAACTGTGATCTAGTGAATCATGGTCCATCTGCACCTTTCAACACCATAGAGACATGTGAGCCTGGGTCTCGCCCTAGCTTCCCTTCCCAAAGAGAAAGAAACAGCGACTAAAAATAGCCACTCCGGGGATGTTTGGGAGCGATGGTGTTAAGAACACGGCAAGTAGAAAAGAGGAAAATAAAAGCTAGATGTTAGGGAATGAGGAAGGACTGATGTAGGCAATGAACGTGAGGTAAGGGGGATATGGAGCTAAGCGTTTCCTGGTCCTCATTCAAGCACGGATCTGTTTGTTTGTTGTGGTGGATAAGAACACAAAAAATATACGTGACAGTGAAAGTATCAATCTATGTGAACCTCCTCAGCTTCTCTTCTGAATGTTCAACCTAGCCGTGTAGAAGTTTATTTACTTGCATAGCTTTGGGGTCAGGTTAATTGCAGTGTATACCTTTATTATTATTATTATTATTATTATTATTATTATTATTATTATTATTATTTACAATGTTTTTTATAATAAGGATTTTTAAAAAATGAAGGCTGCTTATTCAGTTAAGGAGCTGACATAGACGCTCCTTAGAAAACAAGGTAGCTCATTGGTGTGGTGGTGTATGCCTAGAATACTAATACTCGGGTGAAGATAGGAGGATAGCAAATTCGAAGCCAGTCTAGCTATGAGACTGTCAATTTTTTGCTCTTGTTATAAAAAAAGAAAACAAGATGCCTGTCAGGTGGCCAGTATGTCTCAGACAACATACAAGGATCAGGTTTGCTGTGGCCAGTCCTTCCCTACAGCC